TTTAAAATAAATAAAATAAAATTTAAAAAAACGCAATTTGCAAAACGTTTCAGACTCTAAATGGAAGAATGATAGCCTCACTCTTTCTCGGGAAGGTTACTAAAAAGGATGGGGTGAGAGAGGTTCGAACTCTCGACCTCAGGATAACTCAGAAGCTATGAGACCTACGCGCTAGCCAACTGCGCCACCACCCCTGACATTAGTGCCAATGAAAGATATAATATAAGCCATATCAAATTTAATGCTCAGCTGAGTCCTAAAACACCTTAAACACAAGCCCCTGACCTTGCTTCCTTCCGAAATGGACGGGTCAGTCACCGTTTTCTCAGTTCCCGCTAACAGACAGCACGTAAAAATAAACACCGCGCATGTCTCTATCAAATCACAATTCACAAAGACAGAATTTCCACAAAATCTATCTTAGCCAACTGCTGCATTTTGAAGAGGTACCTTTTAATTTCTCTCTTTCACCCAATTTATTCATTTCTTGAGCTCTGAACAGCGACCCCTTGCTATTAATCAAAGCATCTTTTATTTTGTTTCTATTTTGTTTTAAAAAACCCTTATTTTCTTGTCCTTGAATCTAAAATTATGTAACGTGCTTGGATGGGAGGGATCTCTTATGATTCAATGAAAATGGGGGAAAACTTGAGATGAATTGGAGCTGGAATCCATCTGTTGCTCCTCCACATGGTCCATAACACGCCTTCAATTGGAGATATATATAAGGTAAATGAATAAATTGTCTCTGCCAATGATTTTTCTATAATGTTACTTGATGCGCTACCATTGAGTATACATTACATTTAGTACATCAGCTTATAAGAAGCAACTGATGAATCTCTGTTGTAAAGCTGAATCATTCGCTTCTATGCTTGACTGCTTACCTGTAATGTATATATCCTTGTGCTTTTGTAATCCAAAAATTTTAATGCGATTAATGTCTATTATGTGTGGTTTTAGGTGATGATCATCTTATGTCTCTGAGGCATCTAATTTCGTGCTGTAAAGTAAACTGCTAATAACTTTGTTTGAATGCTTTTGTTTATGATGTACATCTTCATGTTTTCACAATTGAAAAGTCGCTGTCTGATGGGCATCCATCGTGTGCATGGGGTCTTGAGATTGACTTTGTATCTTGTGTCTAAGATCTCCAAGGGCATGTCATTTTTGGAAAAATATCCTGGATGCAATGCTTCATCAGTTTGGATAGATGCCGAGGAAAAGGCAAGTTTCTCTCCAAGTATCACGCAAATGAAGTCACTGAAAATGAGTTCTCTTTGCTCAAATGTTTGAATGTTAGTAGGTTGTAATAAGCTTACGTGTATTCCTCCAATTGAATAGTGTGGTGTTGCATGTACAGATATTGCAGTCCTTTCTCCATTTCTATGATCAAATAGATAATGGAACAATAAGCTAAATTGCAGGTCAGAAACATGAATTGCTTATAAAAAATTATGAACAAGGCCATAGCTTGATTTCCTTCTAATTTATTTATTTTATGAATTTTTTATGCGGTTGATAATTGTTATACAAAATGGATAATGGGCGAATTGTGAACTCTTCTGTAATACAAGATGGTTTTATGATGAAAACTGATGATGAAGAAGAGCCCTCCAAAATCCATAATGACATTATCACTAATCGTTGAAAGAACCGTGAATGGCAACATAGATACAGGGCCTGAAAACGCCTTGAAGCAGATATGAAGTAGGGCTCTGTAACAAACCAGCTACCACCATCACAAGTAGAAGTGGAACTGAATGGGCATCATAATAGTTGCATAACCCCTATTCCCTGTAAAAGAACTGGAAAAAAGATGCAAGAAGAGCTCGTGCATATAGGCATATGGAAGAAACACGTAATGCTTCTGCTATTTCTGCATTGCCCTTAAATATTGAAAGTCAGACAGTATGCTTGGCCAATGCAGGAATGACAGGGGCACCACAAGAGAGGAAAACTCATTCGGAGAATTCTGTTAGCTTGTGGAGTGGTGAAACATATAATACCAAGCTGGGTCGAAGAGATTGGAAGGCAGAGGCAAGTAAAATAAATAAATAAATGTGTTTGTTGGGCTTAATGAATTTGCAGAGACATTTTGATCAGCAGGTAATGATTGTGGAGAGTAGTGAGTTCTGATGGCCCACTAATCTATACTGTGTTGAAGTGCAGATTGTCTAGACATGGATTAGGAAATTTTATTGTCTTTTTCTGTTTTTGTTACTTTCGCAGCTTCTGCGATTACAGGTAGGATGGGAGAGCGTCAAAAAAATATAGCCAGCAAGTTAACAAGTGCTTACCATCAATTTTTGTTGCGGGAAGAATATCAAATAGCAGAATCTTGGCCGCAGAAGCAAGTTTATGAATTTTGCCTTTAGTTTAAGGTTAGGTCAGTTTTCAGGGATGATTGTAATATATGGTGACTCTACTGTGAAGTGTAATATCATTGTGCATACAAGACAGAGGATTGCTATATACGCACCACAATGGAACGTGAAATATGAAACTTTACTCATGTCAAGGCAATACTTCTGCGTCTTCATGCCTTTATATATGGGAATAGGAAGATGAATCTTGTCCAAAATCATTGTTTTCTTGAATAATAATAGTGTTAAGACTCTTGAAAATTGTATTCGCTTATGATTCAAGAAACTTCGGTGTTTTGTTGCTCGTAGAAGAGTTCATGGTCATCGACCTCTCATTCCATTAATTTGATTTTTATATCAAATGCGGGGCTGATGTTCTTCTTGTCCAGGACAACCCTTCCTTTTTTTATTTCATGGCACATTATCCTACAGAGAATTGCTTATGCAATTGTATGGTCGATCTGTGCAGCCTGTTTCTAGATGAGCCTATGGTGATAGTATCCATATAGACGAACAAATTTTTCATATAGTTTTATCCTTTGTGATGCTTTTATCATCTAGCTCTGTCCGTACATGCTAATTTGAAACTCAAATGCTGCCTTTAAACTCCATTTAATACAACTTTTTTTGTTTTAATGATCGTGGTGGTTGTATTGCAAGTGGTAGCTGCAGTAGTCAGTCCTCCGTACCAGAACTTTGATGAGGGCTCATGCTTTTGCAATGCCTGAAATCAGTGCTTTCCAGGATTAATCATAAGTTTGGACTGCCAATTGTCTCAACCAGAACTGGAAGCTTACACCATGTTCACCGCAAGCAGATGTAAAGCAGCGACATGAAAGTTTTGAAAATAGTATGCAGACGGCTTGTAAAGATTCAGCGACTATTGTTCCTGAAAAGGGCATATTTGAAAATGGGCATGAAATAGCCAGTCAATTTTTGAGTGGCCAAGGCCATCATAAGGAATGCAGAAAGGAGCTGGTAGTGCGTGGACCATTTTGCAGAAGTTATTATGAACCATATAGCATTGTAATTGAAAAAAAATTAAAAAAAAGCGCTTGGGTGCGCATAAAAACTAGATTGAGGATTGGACTCAAATTAATTCAATAGATTTTACATGTATGGTTTTATAGAAGACTAGCTTTTTTTATTTGTGCTATGTTGTGGGGAGGTTATTTTTTCATAACTTCAAAAAACACGTAAAGATATTGATGAATTTGATGTATAATTGATGAATTTTTGTTTTTTAAATATTAGTAGATATACTAGACAACACATTTAAAAAAATATTACTACTAAATTAATTCAGACTAACTATATTTAAATCAACATAAATTAATGATAATCTTATAAAATCTAAATTAAAACAAATTAAAAAACCAAGTTCTAATTAACTAAATATTTAAGGCTTAAAATAAAAAAAATTAATTAAAAAAAAAACAACTTAGACAAATCTAGATTGGTGATCTATGTTACGCCGCAACCTTGACCAATTTGATTCTAGCATAAAAAAAAGATGTTTAAGTATGCTAATGCTAGCATTTAAGGAAGCAAATAAAATTTGAGATTCAGGTCATTAACCTGACTGAATTAAGTAAGTCAGGTTAATTTAATAATATGATTAAAGAAATTGATAAAAAATAAAAATAAAAGGATTCCAAATAATCCAGTTGATTTTTAAAATTAATAAAAAAATCTTATAAAAGTACAAAATAGAATTTATGAATTTTAATTTTTAAATAATTTAAATATTAAATAATAAAATTAACAAAATATAGGTTAACAAAACAAATGAATTTTTATTTTGCATTATATCATGGGATCGATATTTTTTTTAACCTTTAAAAATATATATAAAAAATAAAGATGTGACATGTTGGACAATATTTTTTAAACAGTAAATTTAATTTAATTCTAAAAGATTCTTTAAAATAAAAATAAATCTAACAAAACAAATAACAACAAATATAAAAAAAGAATAACCTAAGTAATTTTTTAAATAAATTACAAGCCCAATATCCAATCAAATGCTTATCTATGAAACTAAAAATATGAGTTTTAAAATAATATCCCCGCATATCCAGATCACATAGCAGATCAGTAGACGGAGGTTTTGATCTCCACGATCCAAGCTATAAATTTATTGTCTGGGATTCTGGATCAGTACAGACAAACGGTGATTTGAACCAATGTATGCACAATTTAGACAGAAAGCCTAGTTGAAGACTGATAATAGAGCAGCATATCATCGTCCTAATATTCCACCAGGGGAAAGCTGGGTTCATCTTGTATCCACCACGCAACCTTCATCCCTTGCCTCTTTACAAAAGGTTCTGATAGCAACTTCTTTTTGTTTTTTCAGCAAAAATAGTACTAATGCTTACATGATCTTAAGGCAGCACATCACATGAGATGATAGCTGGTAAGCAAATATTAAAAGGATTGTCATCACCTTATTCCATCAGCACTTCGTCTGCAAATAATTATCCTTCAAACTCTCAACCTCTTGATGCAAAATCTGAGTTAACTCTTACAAATATTGGCACATGGAGAAATCCTTGCTGGGAAAATCCTCATATAAAAGCCCCAAAAATCACGATGCCGCGCAATGCAAATGCATATCAAATAGTTAGCATGAAGATGTGAACATGGCAGGTACCTACTACATTCATTAGATACAACGATTTCAAGCAAAAAGAAAATCAATACAATAAGTATTAATTAAGAAGACGGGAATAGGGAAACAAAACTCACAAAAAAGATTGAAAAAATGTATGAGGGTGGGGTTGATAATTAGAACGCATATATGTTAATAATTTCCGTTGCATGCTTTTCTTAAATCCTCAAAGCTCCAATCCCTTCTCATTCCAGAGCTCCTCACCAACTTTGGCTCGTCACATCCCTTGAATGTAACGCCTCCTGTGATGTTTAAGCGGCGAGGCTCTTTCTTGATCACCCTTCTTGCAGAAAACACATTAGAATTTCTCCCCGCGTGCCCATAAGATGGCGGACTCAATTTTCCTGACCAGCTTCTTTCCATCTTAATGCAACATAATTTATTATTTTTATGCGGTTTAACTTGCAAATTCTCCCTCTCAGAATCACTCCTTTGCAGGTCTTGGCAGGTTAGACAATTGAGGCTCATGGTTAGATGCGTATATATACCCTTTTACAAGAAAGTTGAACCTTTTTAGGTTTAGTTTATTCGGTGGCTGCAGGGAGATGAATCAAGAAGCTGGTTTGAGATATTGAAATGGGAAGCTGGGGATCGATGGGATGTAGGGAAGGCGATGGATAGGAAGGGAAAAGTTTAAAATGGTTACTTCCTGAAACCTTCTTCTTTTTTTCTCTGTTTCTTTTTTAATTAGAGATTTAACAACCATGGTCATTCACGATGCCCGGAAAGACAGGTAAGCCAGAGATTTGAGCCGTAACGACTTTGAATGTTCATGACTATTGATCCGCCTCTGACTTGACGATATTTGCATGAAATACAATAGATGCTAATACACGCCATGCTACGACGACGTGGATAGAATAAATTTTTTTTTTGGATGGCTTTATCTATCAACACTCAGGATTAAAATGTAAAAAAAAAAACAATTATGATGGAAATGTAAAATACTAGAATAACAAGGACCAAAATAAAATATAAATTAAAACTTCAAGTAACAAATAAAATTTCGGTGACTTCTAAATAGTTTAAAATACCCTATTTATTTTTGGGCGACTTAATTTCATTTTGATTTTGATTTTTTTAATTTTTTTTGAAATTTTGACCTCAAATTTTATTTTATAATATTAATCTTTAATTTAATATTGGGGTATTTCCTAACACTTCATATACACATGATCATGCAAAATAAAACAAATCTCAATATATAAAGTCAAGCTAATATAAGTTTTAATGATGAAATTATAAAGAAATAAAGTATGAAATTAAATAAAAAAAATATCAATATAAAAAATCACCTTCTAAGATGAATTTACAAAGAACTAATTTTTAGTAAATGCAAAAAAAGAAAATCAAGACTAAAATAGATTAAAAAAATTACTATAAATAATAAAATGTGGGTGTAGATGTGTGTGAACAACACGCCTGCAGAGAAAATATTACAGTATTTTTACTTATTTCTTTTAGTTTATAGGTGATAATAATAATTAAAAAAGAAGAAGAAGAAGACTTTAACAAAGTTCTCGCTGACATCTCATGTGATCCACTTGTATATTTGACCCTTCCACCTAAGAAAAGCACAGGAAAGAAGGTAAAAAACATTCACACGGCTCCGCTTCTTAAAATGTCACCCTCAAGCTATATTAGAAGCATTTAATCTGGACATCCGTCGAAAAGGAATTACTCAGTTTATCTCTCCCGAACAAAATTATTTCAATAGTGGAGCCACTGATACGGGATTCCTTTCACCATATTAATCATTGCTCAACCTAACAATGGAATCATTGAGCCATGGAATTATTTCGCTGATCTTGTTTACCTTCTGAAGCGACTGGCCTCAGGTTTCAGACTAGAACACTGAATCTCGACACTTCCAGGCTCCTCCTCCATGCAACTTGCAAAAATGAGGTGAGACTTTGAGGTTCATTAATCATTGATGAATCCTTGATGCATGCATGTGTATATATACACGGAGAGCCTATGAAGCTGAGATGAAGGCATGTGAAAACTATTTGCAAGCTTGAGAAGACTATTTAATGTTCCCTTTTATTAATTTCTTGTGTGTCCAAATGCAAATAACGAAAAGATTCCGGACAGTAATACGATGCTTTTGTAACAAAAGCCAAATTCAGCTAGTAAAGATGGCATGGACTTTATGAGAGAAAAGGCTAAGAGATTATGATGCGCTTACTGTAATAATTATCTTTTGAATTTGAAATAAGGCTGGCTTATATAATTAACCAACAGAATTAGCATCTCATGAGCTCTTGATTAACCGGTTAATTATATTCATTTCGGTGGTGGTGCTGATTGTGACCCAACATATGATTAAGTTTCTTGAGAAAAAATCCGTTGCTCTTTACTTTTTAGGTAGTTAAACAAGATGCCAATCTCACTTTAATATTGCATTCGATTCCTGAAATCTCGTTTTATTTCCTCGCTTTCTACTTTAATTTGATCGCCGCCTTGAGTACTATGCCCTTGCAACACTTGGCCCAGGCTCGCCCGCCTGTGCTTCAAAGTGTCCAAAATTAATTGTACCGTGGCTTGAATCGAGATCCACAATTACTCGCCTTTACTATATTGAATTTTGCTTTTAAATTACGATATTGATTATCTTTTATTTTAAAATATATTAAAATAATACTTTTTATTTTTTAAAAAATATTTTTAACATTAATATCATATTAAATTAAGTGATATATAAATATAAAAAATCAATTTAAAATAAAAAAAATTAAATTATTTCAAAAGCATTATTAAAATATAAAAATGGGTTACTGTTTGCACAAAAAAAAATCACTTGTAAGCGTCAGGGAACTCTCATGTATAGCTTCATGGATGTCAAATGCCATTCTGTGTTTTTTGGTTAGAAATTAGTAATAACGCCCCCAACGCATTCTCCTCTCACCCTGAGTTGAGGAACTCGAATCGGAACCCTGATGTCTTGAGTTCACCAACCATCCATATCCACAAAGCATTCTTCTCTCAAGGGCTGCTCTTTTTTTTTTTTTTTTGTCTTTTAACTTGTGGAGATTGTTGACTATTTTGCACTGCTCTTTTTTTTTTTTTTTTGTCTTTTAACTTGTGGAGATTGTTGACTATTTTGCAGCCACCATGACATCTTCTAATCTTACATTCAAGGTACCCACGTCAGCCATGTCCCATGTTACGTTTCCGATAATAATCTGATTGTAGACATTTCTCATGCCGTACCTATTACATGATGATTATTACGAGACATTAAGCATGTGTTAAACATTGGTCTGCTTAGCCCACGTGTAATCAAATAACCTCATTGCCTTTGTACATTCTTTGCAAGGCAAGGCAAGGCAAGGAGATCCTTAAAATTAACCTTCGAGAGAGAGGCCGATGGATTGGGTAGAAGAACTAATGACTCCCAGGGTTGAAAAGGACACCAAACACCTCGAGCATTTTTCCATGGTTAAAGTCACTTACCGTGTTATGGTTTTAACAGCTATTGCTACAGCTGCTGCATGTAAGCATGCTATTATGGGACCTGAGGGGACGTGTGCAATTTGATAGCAGAAATGCTATTATGTGATTAGATCAGTCCGAAGAACTGCACGTGGTATCAGTCATCAGAACCCATAGAATACCAGGTGCCATTTCCAAACCAGGAATGTCGGAGAGAGAGGGAAAAAAAAAACCAAAATTAGATTTGCTTCAAAACGATAATAAAATAAAGCTTCCGAATTTTACAACAGCACAAATTTTCCTTTAAATAAATCAAGTCAGCAAGGTAGATACCCTTCGGCGCAGCACAGAGAGGAGATTTGATGTCGCCTTGAAACAATAAACTACGAAATATGAACTGGCAAGAGTCCCGGACACAGTCTATTGCTTGACAAACAAGAGCACAGATGAAGAAACTGCAGCTGCACTACCATCCCAGACTTTGAGTTTCTGCATCAAGAGAAAAGGATTACTGGACAGGAGAAGGCAAAATCCAGAACTCAAGCCTGTTTTTATAGGATACATATGAATAACTTCCATGACGAAGGGGCAATCTACAACCGATTTAATAGAACAAATTACTGGAATTCTGTTCGCCTTCTCCGTCGTTGAAGTTTGACAGAAAAACACCACGATACATGTTGATTTAACACAGAAAATTGATCAGGTTTGAATTTCAATATATACATCAATGCCAAACAGAAAATAAACACAAAAATAGCTATTTTCACTTGATTGGAGCCTCACAAATCTACATAGCTCGTCAGTTCAGCCCCTCAAATTAAAGTACCCCAACTCAGAATTTTACTAGAACAGCTACTAAGAAACACCAAGAAATAATGCTATTGTACGGATCTTGTGCTACCAGGGGAGCGTTAAACATCCCAAAATCCTAAAACATTAATAAAGAAACTCGGGACCTATAATCTTTACCAAGACCTATCCCAACTGCAAATCGCATCTGTGGCTCGGTTCACTGCCTATCGGGCATCACCAACTTTTGTAGATATGGCTACCTTTAGCTCTTCTTGGGTGTAATACCGATTCCCCATCTTCACTGTAGCTTGCTGGATCATCAAATCATTCATCACAGTCACATTCGCATACTGAACATCAAGGTCCAGATCTTTCAAAGCCGACATTAGCCTAGCAGCAGGGTGGTTCATTTTGCAACATTGGATTCGTATCATTGCATCCCATCCACTAATCTTCACATCAATATCCATGTCTATCAGTCTACCTCCATGGTCATTTGACATCTTAAGCTCCTGATTGGGAGGAGGGCTTGAATCCTTACTTACCAACTCCCTCTTCATTGTCTCTACTTGATTCTCCAACTCCTCCTTACTGGACTCAGCAGATTGCAGCTTCGTTTTAAGCTCATTGATATACGATATTGCATCGCCAAGAAGGGAAGCTTTGTCCATCTTTGATACATTAGGAACCACAGCTCGTAGTGCATAAAACCTCTGATTAAGTTTCTCTCTTCTTTGCCTCTCTGCTTCAACATGATTCAAAGGCTCTTCTCTTCCATTCGCAGGTTTTCTCCCTCGTTTTCGTGGCCTCTTTTCGGGTTCCACAACCCTGCTGCTATCAGCCTCTTTTACAACCGAGGCCTCGACGTCAGAGTGATCTGAATCCCCGACTGTACCACCACTCGATTTCACCAAACCAGAAGAAGATAAAATCACACCAGAAGTAAACGAAAGCATCCCTTCTTCTTTACCACCTCTAGAAGCAGGTGATTTTTTCTTCTTATTACTCTCCTCCGTCACCAAACCCGAATAGAAATTCCCATTTGCGCTGGAAGTACTCCTCTTACTCTCCCCAAAATTCAATATCTCTCCAGATTCTGGCTTCAACAAATGGGAATTCCCATTCCTAACAGTACTCCCATCATACGTGCTGTGCTCCCCAAAATTCAACTCTCGAGTGAAAAGACTCTGAGTATGCATCTGCTGCTGCTGCTGCTGTTGATGGCTGTGATGATTCTGAACATGATGAATTCCGCCTGAATGGTCAGTCAAACTGCTCGAACTATGATGATTGTTACTGTTCCCAGTCTGATGAGCCGGAGTAGTCGACTGAATCCCAGCATTTCCATCTTTAGTTTCTGGATCAGTAAGCCAAAGTGAAGACGGGTCATTCTCACCCTGATCGGTATTTGCTGTTTCAATCGGCCATGAACCCACTTCCAAACTATTAAAATTAAACAAAACCTTAACCTTATTCATCAGATCCGAGCTTCGAAAAATCAATTCAGTGGAACCCAATTCAACAACACCAT